TTCTTATTTGCAGTAGTTTACAGTCCACTCATATTTCTTGCACTGTCCTAGTCTAATTTCTTGTGTGACATCATAACTCAGGGTTCACTGGAGCCTGGAGACAGACTTCCAGTATCTTGTCTTCAGGGTAACTTTACAGCCTTCTAGGTACTCTTGAAGACCCAGGTAGTAAGGGTGTTTAGTGGGAATCTTCATACTTGAGATGATTTTTAGACTGGATTAGTCTGATGAATACAGAGTGGCATAGTAAATCTACTTTGACCTGGTTTTCTTTGGATGAACTAGGCCAGACTCAAAGGTTCACAAGGCTTTTTACTCTTGATTGAGCCTGTACCTTTGGTACTGTGTTGGATTAGTAAATGAAGGGTGCTCTTTCCTTCTCCTAGGTTAGACATTCTTCTACTACTGTAATTGGACTGGTTTGAGTTTGTTTCAAACTAGTTATTGGAAATTATGTAATATATTTCAGGCCTTAGATACTAGGCTGTAAGATGTATACCAGTTTCTTTTATTTACAATGAATTTGAGTCTTTTGACACTAGACTTGAAGGTGTTGGAAGTATTTATATACAATTTATCTTTTATATTTCTTTTAGTGTAACTAAAGGGAAAATCTTATGGATCTTACTAGTAGGTAAGATCTTGAGGGCTGACGAAAGTGAATTGGTCAAGTAGGATAAGAGCTGGTGAGAGCTGATGAGGGCAATTGCCAATTGGAAAAGTCCCTGTTTACTTGACCAGGTGACTTGTCAGCAAGTAGCTTCTGTTAGGCTACTCCCCTGGCTTATTTATGATGTAGGTACTAGGGTACCTATATGATCTGCTGAGCTGGAAGTACTGGGATTACCCAAGTACTGACTTCAGCTAGATGACCTCTTAAAAGAGGGTTTGAATAGGAGGAATCTATTGAGGAGCTCTCACAAAGGGGACTTATCTTTTCAACCCTTATGTGGCTCTTGCTCCTCAATGTACAAGCTACAGTCACTTTGTTGCTTGGGTTTATGGACTCCAACCTTGCTT